GAGCATAAATCCGAAGTTCCTATGTGAACGTACAAGTAGATGTTGACTCCTCACTGGTTTCGCATAAAACCGGTAGATCGAGCCAGAGGAAAGTCTGCAGGAATGTTCGCAGACGGCTGTCTGTTCTAGGCATGCCATTGAGTCGGAAGTTTGTTCGCTTAACAAAACCACAACAAAAAAGGCGCTTCACGAGTGCAATCAGTTCCCCTCAGCGCGATGAATTCTTGTGGCAATAGACTAGGTACTCCTCGCACAACACGAAAGCTGAAAAAGTTCTTCTAATATATAAGAGGCTTGAGATAAAACTGCGCATACCAGAGTTAATCTGCCCACCAAAGCCCAAGGAAGGCCATACACGTATGAGTAAAGTAGATGAGAGCAAACAAATTAGTTAATATCGTTTTTCAATAAGGGTCTCTTCGTACTAGCATCTAATCGGATAGTCCTCCACATGCGCGGAAAGGCACTAGACGGCCGTTTGGACCCGCTGGGTCGCATCGATCGATCCATCAGGATTCGAACCAATGATCAACAACGGTTTGGGCCGCCTGCCAGCAGCTTATGCCACTGAGCTATGGGGCAGAGTTGCGGACCATCATGATTTACGAGCCAACCAGCATGCAAGCTACGGACGTTGCAAAGGACAGGGTTGGCCCTGAAAGACACGACGTCCACTAACGGTAGCTATGTACGACATAGCATTTAGAAACTGTTAGGGCGGATATATTTTGATGTACTCATGAGTAGGGGATTTTGATATAATTAATTGAGGTTCATCGCAGCCAGCTTCCAAATCAGATAGTCGTCCACATGCCCGGAAAAGCACTAGACTGTAGTTTCAGTCTGTTTGGCATCGTCAGTAGTGCGCATCCATCGGATCCATCAGGATTCGAACCCATGACCACCAGCGGCTTGAACCGCCAGTCAGCAGCTTATGCCACTGGGCCACGAGGGACAGCTTCGGACCGACATGATTTGCAAGCTAACTGCGATATAGCGTGTCTGATCCTCCACTGGCATGCAAGTTACGAACGTTGCAAAGGACAGGGTTGGCCCCGGAAGACACGACGTCCGGTGACAGTAGCTATGTACGATACAGCATTTAGAAACTGTCTAGGCGATTATTTTGATGCACACATGAGTAGGGGATTTTTGGTATAAAATGCTGGGAAACCACCAACAATTTACCAATGAATATGGGATCACTACCTCAACTCGTATAAGACTCGTAACTTCGGTTGTAGGAGGGTCAAATGCTGGTAACACCAGTGCGGGAAACTCGTTTATATGGTGTAATTACATTAGCAGTGGAAACACAGTGAGAGGACATAGTTCCCGGTAGGATAAAAATACCTACCAAACGCTTGTCCCGCCCCCTCCCCCCAGTGTGATTGTGCCCATATGGAACAAAGCAAACGAACCAAACCGTAGCTTGTGGTCCGATCAGACGGACGGAAACCATCTACGTTGTATTGCTACGGAAAAGCTATGGGTGGGGAAAAACCACGTCAACTGATGCGAATGTAGCTACGAAGCTCCGAACAACTCTCGACCAATCAGATGCCTTCATCATGATTTGGTCACCGCAACGACGTGGTACCCTTGAGGATGTTGTATCCATATGCGCCGCAGCGGTTTAGATGCGATTTTTCAGTCCGTCAATAAGCTTGGCGCGAACTGATTCACCGGATTGAAAGACGTGGACCCAGCAGTGTGTGAAGTTCATGAAGCGAAACAGTGAAACCTGTATAAGCTTCATGGTCGCTCAAATATTAGCGATTCGTTTTGCACATTTACGGTACAAAGTGTTGATGCAGGACGACCAAGCAGGCGATAATCCATCGACGATGGGAACTGGATGTCGTTAACCTAGTTTTGATGAGTAGTGGTGAGGATTTTTGGTATAATTCAACTAATTCATCATCGTCAATCGTGAGGCTAGCTATTGTCCTCTGTGGAAGATGAGCCGGGCTATATCATAGTCAACTGTCAATCATGAAGGTCTGCTGCTGTCACCTATGGCGAAGTGGCACTAGCTGCTGGCATCCTAAAGTCATAGGGGCAGGGGTGCGTTAGGAGGCGCACCATTGAGGAGACCCAGACGGTCGAAATGCCGGCGTCTGGTGCTTTTCCAGACTAGCCTAGACCTGTTGATTGGGAGTGAGGATGATGAATTAGCTGAATTAACCTATTTTGCCGAATCAATTGTTAATGAATCATCCGACTCACCAGTGATAGTCACCCGCACACGTAGGTGAAAGTCGATGCACAGTGGAATTCACCAATACACAAATCAACGGTTAACGCTAGCTTGTGTTTCTCGACCAAAACAGGACCTAATGGGATCCCTCGTTGGTTAGTAAGAAGCGGTGGGAACAACTTGCTTAACAACAACTTTGCTCAACATATTTACCTTCTCCTTTAACAGTGGAGTATATCCTCCACTCAATGGAATACTTCTATTGTTATCCTGTGGCACAAAAATGGAGCCTCTCATGAGGTAAAATATTTTCACCCCAACAAGCACATACCTGTGTTATCCAGAATAATGGAAAGAATAAATAAAGATGAATTGCTTGTCTTCTTGAACAAGGAAGTCGCAGCACGTTGGTTGCAAGGTAGATCCTACGCAAAGTGTCAGACAGACTTCTCAAAAACCGCATAACGGGTACCACAGACGAGAGAAACAGCGTTATAATCCTGCCTGTGCATGCACAAAATCTTTGATCGAGTGCCTCATCAGAGGATACTTAACAAATCGAAGGCGACAGGCATTGGAGAGGCAAGGTTTCCTTGGTTGTTCTCATAGTCAGTTGGTAAAGAGCAGGTGGTGGGGATCGATGACCAATTCTCCAAACCGAAAACTGTCACCAGTGAAGTAATCCAAAAGAGTCTTCTTGGACCCCTACTTTTTCGCTTATATGTAAACGCGTTTCAGTGAATATATTAAAGCCGTCTACTCACAAGAAAGTACAAATACACAGACCGCCGTACGCCTCACTCATGATGACCTACCTGCACTTGAATTTTGGTGCAAACTGTGGCAGATGTCAGTGACCGTGGACAAGTGTCATATCTTGTCGCACAAATGTCAAGTACCGCTAGACAGTCTGTTACTGAAAGACACATACATTTCACAATGTAAGGCAGTTGGCGACCTGGGAATGTGGTATTAGGTTACCTACAACTTTTTAGAGCATTGTGAGTTTCCAGCTTCGAAAATATTGAAGACCATTGGATGTCTATTTCATCATTTTAACTAATGGAATATCGTATCTGGTTTTACAAAGTGTATATATTACCATGTATGGACTAATGTTTATTGATCCAAGCGAATATGCGAAAAGCAGACAAGTATGGTTTACGAAAAAGCTATGCGGTTATTGCTCAGAGATGACATACAGAGAGCGTTGCGATAAACTTTGACTTGATCCAGTCGGGCTTCGGAGAAGGAAGCTGAAGCTGTGTTTTCTTTACAGGACAACAAACGATCATGCGCACATTTTTGATAGTGGTGTTCACATAACTTTAAGCACTAGATATCCGGTACGCAGAAGGCCGATATGGATTTGGACTCCGAAGTTCTCTACAGGGGTTCAGAAAGTGTGCCTTGCTAATTCACACCTCAAAGATTCGGAACAGGCTTCCCAGAAAGACCAGAATGTAATGTACATCGCGTAAATTCAAGATTGCGAATAATGAGCAGTGAACCATTCGAAACGCGGTTACTATGTTTGGGACATGACAATCGCTGGTTAGACTTTTCGAGAACGGTAACGATCACGCCTGACAGAAATACGAACGACACATGTGCATAAAGTTTTGGCTCACAGAAAGTTTCGTTTCATTCACTCTCCGGTTCGAACCTCTGTCATGCGTTGTGTAGAACAATAATTCCTCGACAAACAAAGGATCCGGGAATATTAGTGTTACGTATACTCGAAATTTGTGCTCATAGTTTTTCATTGAATTATACAATAACATAAAATGGTTGCACACGTCTAGATCTGTCCGTTTTATGGAATAACTTCTCGTGTCGTCGAAAAATATGCAATGTGTTTATTTGGCACGTGTATTAGCAGCAATAAGCGCGTGACAGCCGAACAGGATCGCGTAGTTTTGAAGATAGAAATGTATTCTTAACACTACAGTGGCTATAGCGTCAGAAGAAAATCTCCCTCGGCCCAAAAGACGGTACATACACACGGTCACTATGAGAGCCGTTATCATCTACCGGAGTAAGGCTTGACTCATTCGACCTAAGAGTCTTTGATTATCAATGTCTATGGTACAATGATGGTGTCGGATATCACCATGGAGTCTGCAACGAGGATGCACGTAGGCGAACAGTAAACGGTGCTGATCAAGCAACTTCTTTAGGACAACATATAGCACTGAACAAGTTGCGTTGGCATGGGCACGAGTTACGTAGGCCCAGTCACCGCTTACTGAGGAAAATCTTGTTTCGTCTACCGGATGTAGAATAGTGCAAGGCTCGAGGTGAGCAAAACTTAACTTGGCAGCGAGAAATGTGCTCACTGGCGAATAGACTTGGCGCTGTCGGCACACATCCTTGCAGCCTGGAATCCGCGCGGCCGGCATTGCGCATAAATGGAGACTACACGAGGACGGCTTGCAGTCGGCATCAACAACGCGTCCGCTATCGTCTCTTAGTCGGAATGCTTTTGTAAAGCGTGTCGCGTGTTAAATTATCTACAGGGCAATGCTTGATTACGACATGAGGCAGTGCAAACCACAAAAAAGCTGTCTGGCTGACTCGCGTGGTATTCGCACGATAGCCAGCTGTTTATGGCCGTATTTTGCAGACGAAGCGCAGGCATGTAGGTTTTACACTAGGTACCTGTCCTCCCTCTTGTATTGCTCTTTATTCTATAAATCATCGTCATGCCTGAAAGGCAACAAAGCATCTATACGAATTATTCGTGAACTGCTGCTGTTGATGGTAACGATGCGAGAAGTAGAACACGACAGCAACTCACCTGCAGGATTAGCCCATCTGGCATTCGAACTCGAACCACTGCGTAGCGGAACAGGCGGACTTCTTGCACGCGCAACCGCTCGCGCATAGCCTTGGTCATAAGCATTCCGCTTTCTTCAATAATGCGCTGCTGTTGTTCCAACGAACGTTTCACTTCCTCTTTGGTTTGATAGAAAAATTCATCGGGCAGCTGATCGCGAGTTGCCAATCCGGATAGGTTGCCCGAGGTCTGATTGGTAGAGAGAAGGAAGGAGTATGACGAGTTGAGGAAGTTGTCAGTTAGAGTTTAATACACAGTAGAGAGAGAATAATCTAGTAAGAACAACAGACACGACGAAGGAGTTGTGAAACGTCTGCAAGACAATGGCTATGAGGTTGGCTGTACTCAGACAAACCGACTCGGACTTATTGATGATGGATAAATGTAAAACTTGAGTGCTTGGAGATTCCGTTTTCTCGTCGATTGGAGGCTGTCTAAGCCCATGAAGAACGTACACACACCGAATTCGATGATGAGAAAAGGCTGATTAGTCGAACAACCTCCCCGTGGTGCCAGCTGGGTGGTTTGGCTTTACCCTATTACAGTAAATAGTTCAGCGGCATGATTCCAGGACGTGGCGGGGGGGGGTTTCGTCTAACAAGTGTTCTAACTATAAAAAGCCACAAATGTCTATTTAACAATAAGGCGACGTGGCGGATGTGATTCGCCACAAAGTAGTCACTGCCCTTTGGTTATCTGGCGGCCTCCAACCATTCTTCATGGTTCAGTGGCAGAAGCTGCTAGCTAGTTTACGCAAGCTGCTAGCAGTCAACCTCATGATGAGGTTGATGTTGCATTCATGATGCCTCATCACTGCAGTTCATCATCATCATCATCAACAGCAGTACATCAGCCATTTGAACTGATGCTTCGCTGCCATACAACCATGAGGACCTATGAAATAAAGAATAAGAAGAGGGAGAGAAGGTGGACTTACCTGAAAACCTTAATATCCTAATCAAACATTCAGGGTCAAGGCGCCTACACCTTGTGTTAACAACATACCGTCACAAACAGCTGGCTATCGTGCAAAGATAAGGCGGCATCGGCGAGACAGCTTCCTTGCGGCTTTCACTGCCACGCGTCATAATCAGCCATTACCCCGCAGATAACTCAGCACCAAACACACTTTAAACAGACAATCCGATTAGGAGACAGCAGCAGACGCGCCACTGGTGTCGGTTGATAGCCATGTCCTGTAAAGTCTCGAGCCAAGCACAAGGTGAGTCACGTGGACTCCAACCCGGAAGGCGAGACGGACCAACGGCACCCAGTTTGGTCGTCAGTGACTTCATTTCCCGCTGCCAAGTCAACTTCTGTCCACCTCGAGCCTTGCGCCATCCTACACCTGGTAGACTGAACAAGGCCCTCCTAGGTAAGCGGTGACCAGGCATGCGTAGCACGTGCCCGAGCCAACGTAACTTATGCAGTGCTATCTGTCGTTCTAGGGAGCTAGCATGATCATCACTACCGACACCAGCAATGCTTCGCAAACAACGATGATCAAAGACTTGAAGGCGCCTCAGATCTTCAGACCGAAGGGGCCAAGTCTCACTACCATAGAGCAGAACGGCCCTCACTGTGGCCTTGTATACACGGCCTTTCAGACGGAGGGAAACTCCCTTCTGTCGCCATAGATGACGCAGGTTCAAGAAGGCAGCTCTGGCCTTTGCAATGCGTGAGCTCACGTCAGTTTCTATGCGCCCATCAATGCTGATGCAGCTGCCAAGATAAGTGAATTGATCAACCACCTCGAGTTCCTCGTTAGCAAGCGTCAAGGGGTCATCGAGTGGCTGGTGGTCCTGCAGCAACACTTTGCACTTTGAAGGTGCGAAGTGCATACCAAATAATGAGACCACTCTGGAGAGGCTATTCAGGGTTGATTGTGCCGCCTCAACATTGTCGAAAAGCAAGACGATATCGTCCGCATAATCTAGATCAACTAACCGTTCACCAGGCAGCACTTCAACACCTACATCGTGAGATTCCGCAAGGGAACACTCCATGATAGAATCCACGACGAAATTGAACAAAAATGGGGAAATCGGGCAACCCTGTCGAACGCCACTTGTAGTCGAAAAGCTATCCGATAGGGCACCATAGACCCTGACGCGGCCTCTAGTGTTCGAGTATAGAGCACGAAGGATGTTCACATATTTCGTGGGAACACCTTTCCGCGCAAGTATTTCGAACAGAATCGATCGATCGACTGAATCAAACGCACTATTGAAATCGAGGAGCACAGCTATTGTCGGTCTGTGGTATGCGTGGCGCTGCTCTAGCACCTGCCGCAAAGTAAATATATGGTCTATACAGCCACGTCCTGGGCGAAAACCGGCCTGCTCTTCTCTAATCCGAGATTCCCGTTCTGCAGTGAGGCGACGAACGATAATCGAGGCCAATAATTTTGTCACAACTGGCGTTAGGCTAATACCCCTGTGATTCGCACAGTCTGTGCGACTGCCCTTCTTGTATATGGCCACTATAATCGATTCGCTCCAATTAGCCGGCACACTCTCTTTGTTCCAGATACGTTCGAATAGGGAGGTCAGTGCCCTGCAGAGGACCTCACCACCATCCTTAAATAGTGCAGGTGGGAGGGAATCCGGGCCAGCGGCACGAAAACGATTGAGGGCTGTGATCGCATTTTGGACCTCGGCCTCCGACGGAGGCTCTAAACTAACCGTCCATGGCTCGTCCTGCATCACCTGAGTAGGAAGAGGTCCGGGAGCAGGGGGCCAGCTGAACTGATGTTCAAAGTGCTCAGCCCAACGAGCCATACGGCGCTCCTTATTGTGTATCAGCGCACCCGCGCTGTCCCTGATTGTCTCACTGACGCCTGGTTTCCTCGGACCAGTGGTGCGTATTAGCTGGAAGAGCTTGCGGTAATTGCCTACTGCTCCTGCCTCCTCCATTTCTTGAGCCCGACTGGTCCACCAGGCTTCCTTGTCAACACACAGTCTCTGCTTTAGTTCACGCCTAATAGCCCGTCTGGTCACATTGTGTTCAGAACCAGCCGGGAGGTGCCTTCTAGCTTCCAAAAGGTTCACGGACCTCTCGGATATCCAGTGACTGGTGCGATGACGACTGATAGTGCCACAAGCAGATGCTCCTGCGTCGTGCATAGTGGCCGAGATCCTATTCCACTGAAGTTCAGTATCATCAGGACAAGACAGCGAGAGTTCGTTATGCAGTGCTTCTTGATAGGCTTGCCTGACAGAGGGCTGGGACAATTTCTCCGTTGCCAATCGGGGGAGACGCTTTGTGCGCCTTCCGGTAAAGTTCATGGAGAAACGACAGCGCACCAAGGCATGATCAGAGTCGACACAGGTACTCAAGTACGAGCGGCAATCCAGAATGGAACCGCGCCACCTGTAACTTATGGCTATGTGGTCAATTTGGGTCCATCGCTGACCAGCTACAGGTGGACGCCAAGTGGCACTTCGGCGCCCACTGTGTCTAAAAGCAGTGCTAGTAAGAAACAACTGGTGCTCCGCACACAGTTGCAGCAGACGCTCGCCGTTGTCAGTTCGTTCGGAGTTAAGTCCATACTTACCACCCAGCTGAGCTTCTGAAGAGCTCAGACGCCCTACTTGTGCGTTCATATCCCCTGCAAGTACTATAATATCTGAACTAGTAGCACTGCGTAGCAGCGTGTTCAGTTCGTGATAGAAAGTGTCCTTGACTGCATTAGAACTGCAGTCCGTGGGAGCATAAGCAGAAATCACAAACAAACAGCGTTTTGCACTACTTCGCGAATTCACCTTAGCTGATGTCGTCAAACGGGCTGCACATAAACGGCTGTTCACCGGAATCCAATCAACCAACGACGACTCAGCCTTGGAGCTGAGAATGATACCTACACCAGCTTGACCCGTGAGTGCCGCATCGGCGTCTTCGGATGCGTGCAACCAATAACGAGAGGATAAGCCGGGTGCAGTCAATTCAATAACCCCGTTAGGATCATTAATCCTAGTTTCGGACACACAACACACATCAACACCCAGTGTGTCCAAGGTGCGTGCGAGTGCAGCCTGCTGACCTGTTTGTCTTAGAGTGCGGACGTTGAATGTCGCCATGGAAACGGGACAGCGTGGTCTTATAAGGGACTTTTGCCGATAGGCGTCCGATAGGTGCTGTGGGATGGTGGCTACAGATGGTTCTACTCCAGTAGCACTTCGGTTGCTGTCAATTAAGCTGGGAATTATAGAAGGAAGGTTAGTAATGGGGGCCGGGATGGGAGTAAGAGAAAAAGGTGGAAAAGAAAGAAGGGAGGCGCCAGCAGTAGCATGCTTTCGCTTATCCACCCTGCTGTATGCAGCAGATAAGGCGACCCTTGATAATCTGCGCGACGGCCGATGCAGGATGAAGTTTATGTTTGAAGAAAATGTCATGGTTGTATGTGGGCTGGGATACTGCCAGGGCGCCCAGACCTAGACAGGAGAACGATTAGGGTCCTCATCCAAAGCCTTTGGCTCAAAAGCCTGTCCGCAAGGCAGCGGGGTGGCAGTGATTTAGTTTTACAGAAATGGACGCCATCCCATTTCAAACCCCCAACCTGGAGGACCAGGAGACTGAGTTTGTCTGACCTCTCACCATTGACCAACCTGGTAGGAATAGCTCTCAAGATGCCCGGAGGCATCATCCAGTATAGCTCAATGGGTCAATGAGGTACGCAAACCGTCGCACCAAATTACATTTAATCTAATTCTCTTTAATTTGGATTCAAGTCGTTCCTCTTTATTTGGTTTGTTCCATACTGTTACTCTGTTGCATATTTTGTGTCAATTTTGCGTGTTTGTTTTCCCTCAAACTCCATATTGGCTGTGTGATGTCCCCGGTGTGGCAGCGCTTAAAGTGAATATTGACAAGCTGCCTAAAAGTCTAACACCATCCACCTCGATTGCTGGCTCCAGGAGACCGTGAATCCTTGTTGGATTGCAACGGGGTGCACGGTCCTAATGGCTGTGCTAGGCTCAAAGAGTGGTTCCATCCAGTGTGGAGTGAAATACGGCCCAGACACCGCCTTGTGTATGTCTGGTACGCATGATTCCCTACATTGGTAGACAGGAACGCTGCTGTTGCGTAGCATTTTGGTCGGTTCTGTTGATGAAACGTGGCTCCCATCCGCATGTCTCCCGGTCTTGTTCCTTCGGGTTTACACTGAATATGGGGTGCGTGGATGGAGC